ATATTAGGTATTTTAGATATTTTCGGCTATATTTGGGTTAAGAGGTAACCATCGTATTTTCGATTAATCGAGTATTTCGGTTAGATTTAGGTATATATGAGTTAGAAACTCGGACCCTACCCGGACCCGGAAATATTTCGGGTATTTTTGGTTATTTTCGGGTATTTTGCTTTTTTTATTAAAATACCCGAACCGACCCGAACCCGAACCGAACCCGAACCAAATTTTTAGAATACCCGAATGGGTCTTGACCCCCTACACGAATAGACCCGATACCCGAAAAAAAAGAACCGAACCCGAACGGGTACCCAAATGCCCAGGCCTAGTACAACATCAAACGCACACGCGCTTAGATATTTTTACTTTACTTACACGCGCATCTAGATATAAAATATGTTTATTTTTGCATTGATATATGTTCCTATCCACAAACAATACAATACGAAATTAATAAATATTGAAGCTCTTCTTCTTCTTCTTCTTTTTTGTGGTAATTATTCTCTTATTTTTTCTCTCCAAAGTTGTTTTTTTTTCCAAACTCGAATAAACTTTTGGATGGAATAAAAAGTTTTAATAGTTTATGTTATCTTCGCCTCTTCAGAGTATTTATGATAGAAGAAACTATGGATTTTATAAATTCGAAAAATTAAATAAGCAAGCATGGAAAAAAGCATGAACAAAAAAAAAAAAAAAAAAAAAAAAACATGAACACAAAAATATACTAAAAAAGTATGAATATGCAAATGTGGTGTATACAAAATAGTTAGTACGTCGACTCGACGTGGACGGAAGAGATTAACCCAATTCGTATATATAATAGTGTCATCAATTGCGGGCCCAGAAAAAATATTTACCCAGGTCATATATAAATATGAAACTATATTATTTAGTATATCGCATAATAATATTATTCAAATACAATGAATCTCGAAAAAATATTAATTGTGGTTTTCAATACTTTTCGACCAACAAAATAAAAGAAATAAATTATCAAAATGTGTCAAACTGGGGAATCGAACATGGTTACTGGGGTGTCAATGGGCATGCAATTACCAAATCTGCTGGTTGTTTTTTAAGTACTCTTATACATAAACACAAATATAATTATTTTACCCAGGTCACTTGACCCTCTTTTCCCCTGAATGGGTCCGCCCGTGAGTGTCATGCATGCATGTATATGCATTCATGCATGTGCACAATCTTTTTAATTATGAGAAAATTTGTAAAGTAGACACTTTTTCCACTAATAATTTGTAAAGTAGGTATTTTTTTTTTAAATTAGAAAAGTAGACACTTTTCTCTTTCCTCTCTAATACACTTTTCTCTCTAATATAGATATTAGTAAATGACATATTTATCATTTTTGTTTTTATGTACTCACATAATGACATAATTGACTTAGTCAAAAGCTTTTATTTTTCTCTTTCTTCTCTTTCACTTAAATAATTTCACTTTGTTTTGATAAAAATTCTTCATAAAAAAAAAATTACCACAATAACATATTAATCTTTAATTTTTTTTTATGAATCTAAAAAGTCTAATTTTGCTATATTTTCGAATACATAACAATTTTTATATTTATTCTCAACCCGACAGTGTACGTGATAATGTAAAGATAGTGTACAAACGGTAGTGTACTACGATAATGTAAAAATTAATTTATGATACTCACATGATGTAAGAGTTGATATACTGGATATGACATTGTACAAACTACAATCTATAATAGTGTACAACTATATAATACGATGTATGGTATACATGATATTAATGGTGTACATGAAACGATGAGATAATAGATCTCACCATACACCACCTTCTGCACCGTCTACAACATCGTACACTTTCACATATTTTGTACACCACGTCTAGAATGAGAGAACCATTTTTGTTAAGTGTTAATGTAAAAAATAATAGTGTCCGAGATTAGTGTACAAACAGGTGTACAACAATTAATGTACAAACAGGTGTACAACAATTAGTGTACAAACAGGTGTACAACAATTAGTGTACAAACAGGTGTACAAACATTAGTGTAAATTACGTATGAATTTACAAACATTACTTCAATTGAATAGTGTACAAACGGCTGTACAAACATTAGTGTAAATTACGTATGAATGTACAAACATTACTTCAATTGAATAGTGTACAAGCGGGTGTACAAACATTAGTGTAAATTACGGGTGTACAAACAGTAGTATACAAAATGTTTTTTATAATGTTTGTGATAGAAAAATATACAAATTAAAGAAAATAAAAAATAATTTTATTCATTATTCCTGAAAAATAGTATTTGATCTATTATTCCTAAAAATTTGGACCCACATCAAAAGTTCTTTCTCACAACACAAAGGGTAGAATTGTATTTGACACTTGTTTTGTCATTTACTCTATTACACATATCTTCTATCTCACAAAAGCAAAAAAAGTGTCTATTCCTCCTATTTCTAAAAAAATTACCTACTTCTCAAATAACTTTTAGAAAAGTGTTTACTTTACTAAAAACCCCTTTAATTATTTCATCCATACCGTATATGTACCTATATCCATATTTATATATAAGAGAGATCAGAGTGATTTGAACCGATCTTTGATTCGTAATATATATATATAAGCTTTAGTGTAATATCAATGTATTATTATATACTTTATCAGTCTGAATCAAAAAACCGCAAACATTATAAGCGAGATAAAGACAGATTTATGTGAGTAAGACTTCTTATTTTGTCACGCTCGGTCACATCTCACCATTTGATTCATAATCTTTCAAACATCGATCTCTCATGCTTAAGCACAAATCACACTCTTGAGTTGTTTGTAAGTCTATGGATCAATACGAGTGTTACATATTTTGACAAAAAATAATAATAATAAGAGGAGTTTATTTGGATACTGATTAGTGGGCACTTGAATTCAATCTGATTTATTAGTATGTAGTTATGTACTATGGAAGTTACATAATAAGATAATGTGCAACTCGTAAACGAAAACAAATTGTATTACTTCTCTTTCTTTATCTTTTGTTAGTAGATATGTTAACTTAATGGCAAGGAAATGTGCACCATCTCACCAAAAAAAAAGGAAATGTGCACCAAATTAATATATTAAAGTCCTAGCTATATTTTGTTATAAAAAAAAAAAGTCCTAGCTATATCATATATGTCTTGTGCTTTTAAATATGCTTAGACCAACTATTTAGGGTGTGTGACTGGTAATATTCTTTAGAGTAAAAATATCAGCTGAAAATTAAATATACTCTCGATTTTTCTATTTTTTACCAATCAAGTTAAAAACTTAAGAAAATAATTTCAGCTGGTTTGAGCTAAAAAAACAGAAAAAAAAACAGAGTAAACTTGTTTTCCAAAAAAAAAAAAAAAGTATGTCAGCTAATTTCAGCTAGGATTCACTTTTTAGTCTCACTTCCTCTCCTCCTCACCAATCACATCCTTAATTTTTTTATTGGGTAAAGCTACTAATGGAGGACCAAAACCCCTGTTCTAAAAATTCCCGCCTACACCCGATTATTCTCAGCTTAATCGCTAGGCACACCCTATCCACCTCGATTAATGACTAATCCTTTATAGAAATCAGTCACCCGATTACTCTCCGCCTAATCCGATTACTTCCTGCCTAATCCGATTATTCCCCGCCTAATCTCACATACCCCGATTATTTTTAGATTGCTAGTATAAAAAAACTTTTTATTTTTGTTATTCAATCATTTGAATTGGGAGTTTGTAATGTTTTACAATAATTTATGTTCAAATTTTAATAAAAATCATAAATTTGTAATAAAAATTTGTCTCAAAAATACATTTTTATGTGTTTACTGAAATTTTGAAAATAATATTGGATTAATATGTTTTAAAAATATTAAAATAACCCTAAAACTAATCTCCGATTAATCCCCAATTTTAATCCGATTTTCCGATTAATCGCTAGGCCCATGCCGAGCGCCCGACTAGCGCCTAGCGATTTTTCAAACAAGGACAAAAACCAACATTTCGTCTCTTTTTTTTTTTTTTTGAACAAACATTTCGTCTCTTGTTTTAATTTACGATCTTCACGCCAAAATAAAATAATCCGCTAAGTGGGCCTGCTTTAAATAATATCAAACATATTCTAGAAATAATAACATGCATTCCGATTTTTTTTTTAGGCCAACGCATTAAAAATAGTAATCAACACTATTTTTTTCTTGTAACTGATTTTTTTCTGTTTGTAACTACTGCTCCATTTATACAAATTTTTCTGTTTTCAAGCTATTTTAAAAATACTTAAATATATATAAATTAATATATAGTTCAAAAGTATATCGGCAAATAATTTAAAATATTTTGAGATGCATATCAGTATAAATTAATTAAAGCTCTTTAGAGGTCTATTTTGTGACAAAAAAATATTCCATATATTATAGATTTGTCTGTATATTGTGGTTTCGTATCACTAATGATTTTATTTCTACTCTAGGTAGTTAAACTACATTATTACAAGAGGGATAAAAGTTGAAGGATCGATGAATCCGAATATCTTTTAACATAACATACAAAATAATGATTAGACTTCAAACTAAGGATGTGACCTAGAATAAAAAAGAAGAAAAAAAATTAGAAGAAAATAAAAGTATAAATACAGATGAATTTTTTCTACTATGTATATATAGTTGGAAGTTTTCTTCCTTTTCATGTAACTTTTTGAAACAACCGAGAAAAAAACTAATTCTTCCCTTTTCTACTTGACTGGTTAATTTTGAGTAGAAAACAGAATATTTATTCTTCTAGCTTTTATTTTTGTTCCACTTTGTACAACCAGTCATACCCTAAATCTTATAAATTTTGGACAAACATAGTTATATATTAATATATCATATATTATCAGAGTTGGCCCTTGACATAGTTCCATAAGGTAGGTATTTGTTAGTTCTTCTAAATTATTGGGTCTAAATGGTAACCGAGGAATCTAGCTGAATCTAGCTGAATCCGGCTGAATTGCTGAATCTAGCTGAATTTTTAGTGATTTTTAGCTGAATCTAACTGAATTTTTACATTTTCAAATGGTAACCGCTGAATCTAGCTGAATGTTTTTGTGATTTTTGGTAAAATCTATCAAAATAATAAAGACTTTAACTGAAAAATATCGTCAAATAATTATAAATATTAATAAAATAATTAAGAAAATATCAAAATAAAATAGATAAAATTATCTAATGATCTAATTAACTGTTATACTAATTAATAAATACTAAATTATCTAAAATAAATACTAATATAAATAATATAAAATTGGTTAGTAAAATTGAGTTATTCTTCCATATTTAATTTTAAACTATGAAATATGTAGATAATTAATGAAAAGCTTTGTAAAGTAATATTGATAATTTAATTTAAGAAATTAACATGGTAATATAATATAGATTATCTAATTGTTTATTTTATGTTGTTTTTGCGAAATTTTACATTATCTAAAAAATATTAAAATTATCCAAAAATGTCTATAGTTATCCGAATATGAATTCGTCTCTTGTATATTGTGGTAGTGATATGTTATGTATCTGAATTGTTTATATATCGTATGTGTATAATCTAACTTATTTTAAAAATATAAATTTGATGTGTAATTTTTGATATCCAAAATATTTTAATTCGACTTATGTGCTCGTTATTATCCAAATATCTACCAGATATAAACGTATCTACGTATCTGTTGGTGTTGAAAAAAATGTTGAATCTGGCTGAATTTAGTTTTATGCAAATAGTGACTGCGGAATTACTGAATCTAGCTGAATCCGGCTGAATATTTTTGTTATGTTACCATTTAAGGCCATTGTTTAACTAAAAGACCACATCTTAAGAATTTCTTGTTATATTGTTTAAAATACGTTTCATTATTCTTTTGTTTTCAAACTAAATTTATTGTTTACGTCGACTAAAATTTTCTCTCAATGGAAGTTAGATGACAACCTAATATATTCATTATTATTTTGTCGGCGCCTAATTTAAATTAATATAGAAAATCTGATATATTTTGTTAAAATACTAAAAGTGAGAATTGTCAATTCCAGATATGCAATTATGTAATGTTATATGGACTTTTATAATGTCGTACGTATTATACAAACTTATATCTAAAGAAAAAATTTGCCATCAAAATAAATATAAATGTATTTTTCGTCAATACAAATACTTTAAATGTTGACCCCAAACAGAATGCTTATAAATATTCCATAATGTCTGTCAACTTTCAACTAGTCATTTTATCATATCAAAATTCTTCTTTCATGATAATAACTTTTTCCAAACGGTCAAATGTTCTCACAAGTTGCCACAAGTCGTAATTATTTAGTAGTTAGTGGCAATTTCAAAAATAAAAAGTTGAATTTAGGAACAATATTACCTCTCTTTTTTTTTTATGCAAGAGCATCTCCATGGATAAGGTTTTAGAAAGTTTCTCATAATTAAAATATTAGAAAAAATTAAAAAGGAGAAGAGAAGGTAAAAAACATTTCTTATTCAAGAAATTCTGAGAAACTCATTTTTACACTTGTTCAATTTATATTAGTTAAACCCTAAATATTAGATGAAATTTAATTGAAAAAAACAAAATTACATTAAAAACAAATATTACTATATTTTTGAGAACTTTTCCTCTCTTTTACACCGATGGAGATGGTCTAAACTATCTGAAAATTTCAATTTATTTTGTGGATACGTAACCATTACTCTACACCAAAAGAGTGCTCAAAATTCAAACCTTGCAAAAAACTATAAACTATGTATTATACATAGAGCTTTCTGAATAATCTCTCTATAAACAGCATCTGAATTTGGATCTTATAAGTTAATAACATCATCGGAGTAACATTCTTCTAACTAATTGAATTGCCAATGCATGGATCATTTAATAGTATAGTTGGCGAATATTTGCTTACAAAATTATTATGGACCAGAGAAAATTAATTTAAAGGTCCGTCACTATATATTGTGTACATTTGTATATATATATATATATATATATATATATATATATATATACATGTGTATCAAGGAACATGTAAAACAAAAGAATACATGGAGTGAGAGAAGCATATGATAATAAGCAAATGATTTTGAAAATGCGCATGCAACATAGCCGTTGTGCTTGTACTCATCTCTACACAAACATATATTCATTATTTTCACCAAAATATTCCCTAATTTTATTTAAATTTTCATGTAATAATAATAAATCAGCTCATCTACGCCAAAATGCAACTATATTTATTTTTTTTTTTTCTATAAAATCCTTGTCCATCTAATTTTGACATTGTTTACGCTCAATATCTATGTGTATAATAAAGTTTATATGTTTGCAATCTAAAATAAGGAATGGGCGAGGAAAAAAGAAAAGAAAATGAATTGCGTATACATAATGTATGTTATGACGGTGACTATGATCTTGACTACATCATATGATTTCAACCATACATTTATTTATATCTATATAAAGAGAAGCATCATGATGTTAACTCTTATATATTTTATTTAAAATTCGTTTTCATAACATTATAATAAGTTTCATCTTTAAAACAAGTTTTGAACAAAAGTGGGGTCCTTTTACCTTAGTGGAGTTCTCTCATATCATCCTATGAGGAGATAATCTATCTCACCATTTCTTCTAAAGCAGCCACTTTGTGATTCTCAACCTCTTTATCAAAGAGAAACATGAGAGCTTCAGGTGCCTAGCTTCTCAAGATTCTCAAGCTTAAGGAAAATGCCTGGACTTTGATCTGAAATGCCATGGAATATATCGTATCTTGGAGAAAAGTAGAGTTCTTGATCTGAATTTTCATGGAATGTTGTAAAACCTTGTGCTGGTGTCGAAATAACCGCTCCCACTGTAAGGACGATGAAGATGATTAACAGCAGGAGACGCTTGTTGTGTCTTAGAAAGATGTAGAAACTGAGAGGTTGGTTTTGGACTTGATTCGTTGTGTGAAGGCTCTTCTCTTTGGTTAATAACCATCAAATCCTTTCCCATTAGCCGCAACACCGGGTTGGGATTTGAAGGAACCGCAGGCACAGACTTACTCAGGAAATCCAAATCTTGTTGGATCATGCGTTGTGGTGGTTGACAAAATGTGGTATCTTCAAGAGCTTTCTCCTTTCTTTGGCAACAACATGATTGATCACTGTCTCTGAATCTGGAAGGTCTCTTGTCAGTGGTTATGATGTTAGGAAGACTTAATGTCTGTGTTTCAGGAGCGGCAAAGTGTGAAATCGCTGAAACAGGTGATTCCGATGAATTTCTGTCAGTGAGATCAAACTGATCTTGTGAAGAGTGGACTTGGCTTGTAATAACTGAAGAATTTCCATGATGTTCAATTGCATCAGTTCCCATATCCCAAGGACTCGGTAAAAATGATCCCGGAGGTCCTGGAATAGGAATGGGATCAACCTCCATGAACGAGCTTTCTTGTTCCGCAGTTTCGCAACCAGTTTTCTCATAAATCATACTTTCAAACTCAACATCTGCATCATTATTTTTGTCCAACATAGCATCATCTCCTTTGTTATTATAACCAGTCTCTTCAAAGCTGTCATAATCATTATCTTCCCCGCTAAACGAAGGATTTGAGCTTAGCACAACCTTATCAGTTTCTCCATCATCAGCATCCCAATCATCATAATCACTTAGTTCACGTTCTTGAGTCATTTCAGACTCCCATTTCCCTGTATCTTCATTCTCTGAGAAATCCAATCGAGCTTTCTTGAACTTCATGATGCCTTTTGCCTTGGATGAAAACTCCTTCTCCACAGGTATTGAACATCTCAAGGGATTTGCTACAAATAAATCACTTTCAACGCTTTTGTTCCTAGACAAAGCCCAGCTCTTTCCAGAGACTTGGCTCTCCCCACAAATTCTCCATGACCCTAGACTGTTTATAGGAGAAGAAACTGTCTCGGATAAATCAGTACTCACATGACTTGGACCTCTTGATACAAGAGGATCTTCTGACAATGAATGTCCATTCTCAGATGGCTGGTCACAAAATTTTGTCCCATTCTTATTTCCATGTCTTGAAAGACGACGTTTTGTTAATATCCGCTGGTTGAAAATTCTACGCTGACCAGGACCTGAAGTTTCTAACCTCTCAAAGTCTTTACCTTCTTTAGAATATCCTCTTGAATACTCTGGCATCTGTTACACAAATGATTTTGTTAAACAAACTGGTGTTAATCTAGCTACCAAATCAAGATAGGATCATGCAAATGCATAAATTACAGAAAAAAGAAACTATGAGAGGTCGAATGAGAGCATACCTCTGAAGCATTGCCTTTACGAACAGTGACTTTTCTGGTTTGAGGAACTAGTTTACGATGCTTGTAATATTTCTCTCCCCGAAGTTTTTTCTTCAAGCTTTTGCTCCCTTTACCTTCACTAGAAGATTTCTTCTCACAAACATCTTCATACTCTCTTGATGGATCAGAAGCTTTCTCGTTAAACTTAGATAAAATCCGCAGTTTTTGGCCCTTAGCATCAATGTAAACAGGTCCAATGCCAGCAGCATCTTCATCAATGCGAACACGCAACACGCTCCGCTTCTTTTCTTTGTTGACGACTTCATGTTTATTATCAGACACAACCCGGTTAGAGTAGCTCGAAATCATAGCCCACTTAGTTCCATTTCTTTTATCAAGATCTTCTAATGTGCCTTCTTTCGCAGAAGCGTAGATATCACTCATCGATTTAACTTTCAACCGTGGCTTAGTCTTAGGCCTGTTTGGCTTACTAATCAGCTGCTGTCCCGAGTCAACAGACAGACACTGATCCATGTGCGCATTTAAAGTAGTGTTAGAAGCAGACGAGAAGGTTTTGCAGATGGGACAAGTTCTCAAAGCCATAGATTCAGAAGCTGAAAAGAGGCAACTATGATCTTCTTTTGATCCGCTATCTACACAAGCTCCAGGTTTCACTACTAACCCACCCTTTTTTCTAGGATTCTTGTTAGCCATAGCTACTTGTATTTTGGATTTCGAACCACTCGCCAACAAACCATTCTCAAAGCCTTGTTTAATCTCTACTAATGTCTGATTAGAGCCAAGTTTCTCTGACTTTTTCTTGTTACTTATCGCTTCGACATGAGTTATGTTTGGCTTCTTCACTTCAGGAGGATGGCTTATCACAGTGCCAAGAGGCTGAATTGGTGGCAATGGATCACTTAAGCCATGTTTTAAACAAAGTTGCAAACTTGTTGAGGAAAAAGGCCAGCTTTTCTTGATGTTCTTGGTCCGGTAACTAAATGCATAATCTCTGCAAAAACATCACAAAAACCAAATCATCAACCATTAGTACAACAACCAGACAAAACAAAGGTACAGGCTTTATAAAGAAAAACTTCTGAGAGACATGACACAACAAAGAAAAGTTTGTTCCTTTGATGATACGTACTGAGACTCGTTCAGATCATGGACCAACGGATCAAAGAAAAATATAAAGAACAGTCAAAACTCAATACCATTAAGCTCCACATAATCACAGAAAACAAAAAAAAAAAAGCATTTTGTTTTAAATCTGACCCATATAGCAAAAATTGAATGGATGAGAAGAAACGATGTATCAGTAATCAAACCTAACAAGAAAGCTAAAGACTTTAGCCTAAAAAAATGGTGAAGAAGAAACTGTTGACTTCATCTCCATAAAAACCCCAACAAAATCGAAGAGGAAGAAACTTTAAGATTACCTGATGGAGAAACTTGAAAGATGTGATTGACCTAACTCATCACTAGAGTTGGTCAGATGTAAGAAATTAGAAGAAGATGATGGATTGTTGTTAGAAGGACTTGTTTGATCAGTGGATGATAAGAACATTTGATTCTTCTTCCACTGTTACTACTATTCACTTCTTCACTTTTAACCTTGACCCTGCTCTTCTGCATAACACCAGATCTTTATTATACCAAATTTGTGAGCCTATGAAACCTGAAAAAGAGTTTAAAAGTTTCAGTCTTTAAAACCCAGAAACTTGAAAAGAAGATCCTTGAAGAAAAAAAATATTATTTCATGTGAAGGTTAGAAAAAAACAGAGAATAAAATTAGGATTAGTGGGTGAGATTTTGAAGTATATGGGTTTGATTGGTGAAGCAAATCACAAACAGGAACAATCAAAAGATTGGATTTTTAATTCTTTCAAAAATTTCCCCTAAAAAGAAGCATTAGTTTCTAATCTGATTGGAGTGTTATTTTATGCAAGGAATAACATAAAACTCAAGACATCACAATAAGAAACAAATAGATCAAGACACAGAGGTAAGTAAACATACATCTGGTGAGATTTAAACCAAAGATCATTGAGATTTGTTTTTTTCAGAAACTATTGAGATTTAAGAAAATATCAAGACATTGAAAGAAGATAAGCAAAACCCTTAGAAAAAAAAACAGTAATCTCTACTTGTGGATGACTAAACTGAAACATGAGATTAAAAAACAAATCTGGGAAGAAAAAATATGAATTAAAACCAAACCCTTTTTAATAATGCTATGAACAGAAGAAAAAAAAATGGATCATAAAATACCAAAAACTTACAGAGGACTATATGTATATGCATACCTATTTTTGAAGAATACAAGTTTGGATCTTTGAAACTTTGTTATGATGTAAGAACAAGAAACTGTAAATCGGTGAGACAATACAAAAAACAACAAAGAAGTAGAAGACGACGAAGAGAGAAGAAGAAGAAGAGAGTTGCTAAAATAAAGTTTCAGATTTAAAAAAAAAACAAAGAAATTATACCAGTAAATACACTTTTGATTATTTTCAGAAATGGTTTTCTTGGCAGAAGAAAATATTTTCTTAGAGAGAGATGAACAAGAACCACGCACTAACACATCAAAGTGGTATCAGGTTCCCTAAGTATTAAATAAACATACTGTTTACTAAATAAAATAAACTAAAGTTTTAATGATTTTAGTTTTTTTTTTTTTTTCCTCGTCGCTGTTCCTTTCGTATGTCTGTAAGTGAGCTGTGTGAATTCCTAAATAGTTGTTTTTGAATTTTAAAACCTTTTTTTTTTTTAATGCATTTTACCATAACTTTTATTTTAATTTTTGGCCACTTCTGGTTCTGGGCTGCTGCTAACTTTTTCTATTGTGTTTAAGAAGTGTTATAGATTTTGTTCAAATTTTAGTTCATGGTAAGTTTAGAAACTTTATTTATAAAAAGTAATTAAGAAATTTAATTATGTTATTGTTTGAGTTTAGATCCCTTTTTACATTGCATAGATATATATGGTTAATATGCTCGAAACCCAAACTTATGGATGCTTTTTTCCTATAGATGATTGGACGACCATTGAAAAGCAAATGGAAAACTTGACTTAAATGTGGGTTGACTAACTTCAGTTTTGGGACCAAGTCTTTGGAAAAGTTTATCAAATTATGATGGGAAGTTCTATAAGAACGATCGAGACGGTTTGTGAACAAATGATCGCTCATGAAAAGCAAGGATTCCACATGACCTTAAGATTATTTCTTTTGTGATATTGCTAAGGAATAATATGTATGAATCTAGGACCGATAAGCGATGTATATAAGATCTTCGGAGAATATTAAGGTGGAGCATGTGGAACAAACCAATGACCATATATGATATCTTTGAGACGATATATATATATATGGAGGCATCGTTCCAATTTTTTGTCCAACGTTTAAAGTCATAGAAACCACGTAAATGGTCGAAGAATTTGGAATCATGGAAATAAAGAAAAGACTGATTTTGATTCAGAATCAATAATATGTTTTTTAGTGTGCTTTCTAAAGTTGAAAATACATAAGAACATGATGTCTTGACTGTTTTTGAGAGCAAGCTAAGAGTTTAAGAAAAAGGGATCCAATTGTCTTAAAAGTTGGTCATATATATGTTTGTGCATTCTTGAAAAAAAGAAAGACAGATTGATATAGAAGTTATATAGGTTCTGATCATAACCACTTCTTTCTCTAATTTACAAGCTCTATAATGTATAAATTATGATTGTATAAACAGCCAGAATTATCGTTAAATCATCCGCATTATTACAGAAATTAAGAAAAATCACAGAAATAAATAAAAGAGGAGAGTGCCATTTTGTGGAAACGTAAATGATGATTTTAGTCAAACATCATTTTCCTCGTTAAGTCATATTCCATGCCCTATCGACTTATTGGAGGTCCCATCATTCCTTCGCTACACGACACTTTAGTTTATATTTTTTCTTTGTAGAGTAATGAATGACAAATTGATAAGTAATGGATTCAAGCAAGAAAAGAAAAAAGAATAAAAGAATTATAGCTTCTTAATCGCAATGATAAATCACAAGAAGAGCCGTTTTTAGCTTTTGATTAATAGTAAGTTCAATCAAATTAGTAGTTCGAATTTTTCAAAAATAGAATGAGAAACAAGTGGTCGTAGCCTCTTAGGTATAATAATTCGTTTTAATTGGAATCAACTAATGATTGTATGGTGTAGAATTTACTTATTCTAGTCTCGAGTGTCATATCATCCAAAATTTAATAAAAATTCATTTGATAAAGTTTAAACATTATTGTGCTGGTAAATAAAAGCCAAACAGCATCTGTATAACTATATATATCAAAATCATATATCAACTTATAATTTAACTTTTGATTTAGTACATTCGATAGATACAAAATATGCTAGAAATAATAGACTAATATAGATCATGTAAAAAACAAAGGAGTGTTAAGAGAAATTATGAAATGTCCACACACGTCAAATTATCAATGGCATGAACATGGTGATGGTGTTGTCTGTCTAACCTTTTATGATGCTTTTATTTATTAATGTGACGGAACATATATTCATAATTTAATAATTTATTTTTCTTAGCCTTGAATATATATATTTTTTTAAAAAATATTGAAAATATTCTTTTTATCATTCTTGGGAAACACCGTTTTGTTTTACTATTTTATTAACGTGGAGCACCGATTTTTCCGTACGATCTCGATGTGTGTTGGTCGACAAAAATGAGTGAACCGAAATTAACGTGACAAATAAATCTGATCTTATTTTGGTTCGGTATGAATTTGATTTTAATTTGAAATGGTATTTTTTGGGTCAAATTTTCAAAGTATTTAACTATTTATTCAATTGTTTCAAATTCCATAAAAGTAGTAGTTGGTCCACCACGATATGTATTCTTTCAAACCTCATATTGTATAATTTTGTATTCAAATTCAAGTAAATAGTTCGGTCGTATTTCCACCGGCAATCACCTCCTTGGAGCAATTTACCAAAGAAAAATTATGCGTCAATCGCACGAGCCGTCTAACAGCTAATTAAAATCCATTCGTACAAGAATTATTACAATGATGGAAGAAGAAGAAGATAATATTTTAGAAAAACAAGTCCTTTGTTGTGAAATGTATTCACTGATACACATGTTTTGACTTATTGATCTCTTTCAATTCAATGAAAGTTCTCTTATACCTATCACATATGATCCACGTCTTTCCAAACTTGTAGAACTAAATAGAGAAATTACAAAGAAATGTTTTAATTCGTTTAGACATTTATTTTGTATGATATAATTTCACAAAACGTAAGTATATTGCACGAAATGATTATTTGGAGTATTAAACAGATTACTAAGAATTCAAATAAACCACCTTGCTTTAAGAAGCTGCAGTCTCTTAGCACTATCATGGAAACCTTCTGACTCAAACAGAGAGTTCGGTCATGGAGATCAAGATACCATCACTATCAGCATATAGCCACTCTCCATCTCTAATCAAAGTTCCTCCAATATGAACAGGTACATTCTTCTCACCATGACCTTTCTTAGTAGACTTCAATGGGTTAGATCCCAATGCCCTGACCCCAACATCGCAATCATTGATCTCATCCACATCTCTAACGCATCCATTCACAACAATCCCCGACCACCCGTTGTTCTGAGCTAACTGTCCGAGGTTTCCTCCAACAAGTGCACATCTCATGCTTCCACCACCGTCTATAACTAAGACTCCGCCTTCTCCTTTTGTCTCTAGTTGGTTTCTGACGAGGACATTGTCTTCAAAGACCTTCAGAGTCACGACTGGTCCTGAGAAGCATCTTCTTTGGCCATAGATCTTGAAGATTGGGTGGAGAGCGCGTAAGTCTCCGTTTGATATTAGTTCTGCGTTGCTGTCACACGCTTCTGCAGTTGCAAATGCAGCCATGGGAGATTCTGTATGTGTAGTTTTCTGCATTTGGAATCACAATACTTATTAGAGTAGCCGAGTAGGGAACTGAAAGAAAAAATGAAAATAGGATAACAAATTAAACATAGAAAAGAGTTTTCATTCTATTCAATATCAATATACAATTTGGAACTTCTTCCTCAACAAGAAAAATACGGGTGATTCAAGATGCCAAAACGTATATCATTTTGTTACTAACTCAAGCTAAACGCAGTTGAAAGCTGATGACAAGTTTTAACTAGATATACACAATGCCTCAAATATTAGTTCAAGAGAAGCGTTTAATGAGCCATAACATCGAAAAGGACAAAACGAGAATAAACAGGCAAGCGTACGATTTATTAACAAAGACATGTGCAACTCTTTGCATATAAACGGTGTTAAAGCCAGCCTTGGAAGAGACTGAGATTTGGACCCAATCCATAGGCTCAAGAAAGCAGAGCAAAGACTCAAATCACACACAGCTTACGAAATCCAATGCCTTAAGATTCCTAACAAGTGACACTTCTTGAATCAATTGCATCTAATGAGTTAATGACTGTCTGCTTTGCAAATTACGAGGACTGAAACAGATGCTGCTTTAAACATCCTTATAAGATTTCTTTCATGAACCAGGAATGAAACATTAAAGATATGCAGATAACTTCAATTAACCAAGAAAACAAGAAAATCAAACCCTTTCGCCTTACAACAGAAGCTATTTAATTTGAACCATACAAAACAAAATTTTGCTTCTAGTCTTGTCCAAAAGAACATCGTTCCAAGTTAACTTATACGGCGGGAAATAGTACTAATAACAACAAATTCCAAAGGAAACTTCTCAGATTTCTAAAAATAGACTTTCTAAATCCGAAGCAAAACCTTGGAAGCAAAGTCAAAATTACTAAACCTAGGAAAAACAGAACCTTTTCTTTTGGGTAATCTGTATAAAATGAAACAGAAGCAGCAGAGAAAGATCCGTATCTCTGAAGCAAAACATCAAACACTTAGAATTCATCACAACAACTAAACCCATCTCAACAAAACCAAATCGATCATAAAGAATAAGTAGAAAATATTACCAGATACAGAGGTTAGAGCTCCAAAGCTTTCGGCTTTCTACAACAGAACAGAGTCTCAATTTCTCAACGAAGATACTTACATATATATATATATATATATACACAATTGACCCCAAGTAGCGAGTGAGGTCAGCTTCCTAGTGTCAGCCATTTACTGAAAAATCCTCATAGAAGCTTGTGCCATTAGAGGCACTTGGTTCTCCTATCGTAAACTCGTCGGTGCGGGTATTTTCAATCCGACACGCTTTTCTCGGGTCGGGTCATTGACTTTTTCTTTATTGCCTATTGGTTCGATCATCGGATCGGACAGTCAAAACAAGTCCGTTGGGTCAAATCCAAATATTTTATTTTATTTCAGCTATAATGGGCCTAATGGGCCAAGTGATGTAGAACTTAAACCCAAGTTTACACAGTGGAGCCTACTTTGGTAAACATATTATGTTCGATCCGGATTTCGGTTTCGATTCGGTTCGACTTTTTGGTTTTTTGAATTTTCGGTTTATGAATAAGAGTATCCACATTTATATATAATCTATGATGGATGGTTACGGTTTCGGTCCACATTTGAATTTATTGCGGAATGCGGTATACCACTTTGACGATTAGTCGATTACCAATCACATAAAGTTATACCAACATTATTCTCTCTCGACTTTTTTTTTATAGTTTCATGTACCACTATTTCTTATAATTTTACCCTATTCGGAAACAACTTACCGTTAATATATTGTATAGTTTTACTTTTATGTTACTAATGGCTCAAACATATACGGATTAAAAAAAAACAATAATAACATATACGGATTACCATTCAAAACCATAACTCGGTTTTTGGATTAGTAATTTCAGTTTCGTTTGGTTTGGACACCAAAAACTGACAAGAAATCAGAGCCGTCGATCCACTGTCCTTTCAAAGTTCGTTTTGCGGGTCCCACTGTGTAAAATAAAAATATCTGTAAGAAGAAAAAAAGGTACACCACGCCACAACCGTGGCTTTGGCTGTCACATGAGTGTGTTGGTCACAGCTCCGTAACGGGATAATTTGCGGCTCTTAAAAGGACAAAGAAATAAAAGTAAAAAAGGAAAAACAAAATACTAAAAGAGGCTTGGTCAATGTTTCTTTTTTGACCGGGTTTTTTGGAAAAACTGCCTCCTCAATTTCCAATTAAGGTATAATAAAGTCATTGATTGATTATTCCCAATTTTATTTAATGTCTACATACAATTAGATTAGATAATCCTTAACGCGGCACGTTAGTCATTTTGTTTCTTTCTCTTTACTCAATTCATAGTTCATACTTCATAGTTCATACTATACAAAATGAATAAATATCATCATTAAGGGTTTACGAAGATATAAACGTTAACATGTCAAAACTAAAATAAAAAAAGGAAGATATAAACGTTAACGTATCTCATATACATTTGTAAAGAATATTTGTCTGAAGTTATTTAGTTCGTTTAATGATTTTTTTAGGTTTCTTAACCAGTACTTAACTACTTATTACGAGTTATATTGGATTATTCATCTATATTTGAATATCTCAATGTCGCAATGGTTTGGTAAACGTATCTCCTTATATTGCAGTTTAAGTTAATACGTTTCATCTAAGAGACATCGTTTTAAAATCAAACCACATGCATGTATGAGAAACATGTCAAATTCAATATATTATAGTTATACGTCTTATCGATTGAAGTCGAAATAGTTGGTTGCCATATAGATCTATGTTGCGTCTCTAGTTTCATATACTCCATTAGTTTGAACTTGGAGTGTTTCGACTCAACGATGATTTGGGTAGGTAAAAAATATCTTATACCGAGACAACTAATTAAATACCACTCCTTCGGTATCAAAATATAAGAGGTTTAAGGTAAATACACACATATTTATGTCTTTTATTTTCTTTTTTAAAAAAATTCAACCAATTATAATAATGACTGCAAAAAATAAATAGTCATAAATGGTCAAATACATTTAAATTAACATTGAAACTTGTAAAACATCTTATAATATAAAACAAAATAAAATTTCTAAAACATCTAATATAATGAAACAGCGGGAGTATAGTATAAGGGAGCATAGCTCATAAAAAATTATTTAAAATGGCCATTGTTGTTACATAACTTAAAACTGATTTACAAAACACATTTTGACTTTTGGATGTAAATATACATACACATGAAACAAGTTTCATTACTCGCACGTTGTTATCTATTATCTAGAGCTGTCAAACGGGTCTGTCAAACGGGTCAAACCCGCTCCGCAGCGGGTTTCAAATTTTTTAACCCGCAATAAACCCGCCCCGCAAAATCTGCAGGAGAATTCACCCGCTTAATTTCGCAGGAGCCGCAGGTAACCCGCTGGCTTTTAAAAACTTACTTTTTAAATATTTTAAAATTATATTAAAATTATATTTAAAGCAAAATATAATTAATAATAATTTAAAATATAAATACACATACTTTTTGAGAAAATTTTAATTATTTTATATATATTACGAATTATTTTAATATTTTACAACTATATATTAGATAAATTTTTATATATTTATATATTTTATTTTGTTTTGAAAAGCCCGCGGGACTCGCAGGTTTACCCATAAAAACCCGCAATTTATAAAACCAACCCGCACCCGCCCCGCTTTTTTGCAACCAACCCGCACCCGCCCCGCTTTTTTGCATTTTGAAAATTTTAATCTGCACCAGCCCCGACCGGCTCTGCTTGAAATTGACAGGCCTACTATTATCCTCTTAAAGGATCAAGCAATAGGAAGGATAAAACAAGCCAAAAAAACATAAATTCAATTTTTAAAATACAATATTATACACTAAAATATCTACTTAATTACTTTGTTTGAAATAACAATAAAAAAGCTTAGGATTACTACAAGAATAAAAATTATTAATTTCAAAAATAGTAAATACTGGATCAAAACTTGTAGTCTAGTAGTTTTGTTAGTGTGGTCGCAACATCATTAACCGAATCTGTCGTTGAAAAAAGAGAGTAGAATACTATGATGAAACCAACATTTTTCAACATCACTAATAAAAATAACATTTAGTAAACATATAATTTTACTGTAAAAGTCAGATATATAATTTTATTCGATTTAAAATATTGAAATTTCGAATTTTTACTATCTATATCCCTCAGTCCCAACAATATACTTTTTGTTAAATTTAACTGTTTTTTTCTTTGAGAAATGCTATTTTATATAGTTTTTCTATGTGGTGACAATATTTTGACAAAATTTCTCCCTTTAACTGATTTTTTTCTAGCATAGTTACTGCACAGACTATATATAAATAGCTTGCAGATTAGATTTTCTGTTCCACAAATTTCTAACCAATGTGACCCCTTATAGTAAAAAACAACAACCTGCTTTATATGTAACTTTTTTTTTTCTTGTCCTCAAAGAGATAATTCAGTTTTTCTTTTTCAATTCATATGAATCAAACCAATAAGACTATGTTCTCTGTAATAAAATAATCAATGAATTTTTTTCTAAATCCGACATGTGGCAGAATAGAACATTTTCCAATAATTTCCTTTTAAAAATTAATTTTTTTCCTATTAATAACCAATCCGCAAAATATGAAAATAGAAGAAAAATTAATGTGAAAAGTTGGCAGATAATTCGTTAGAGATCACCTGTGATACACCTCACGGTATGTCTCACTTAAAATCCGTTGATCTTATTCTCTTAGTCCGATCACTCCACGTGGCGTGTTATGATAGGTTAATTCAATACTGAGAAAAAACGCTTCGTGTAAATTAGAACACGAATCACCCCATCATCATCATCTTCACCATTCTCCTGCAAAACTTTTTTATTCCTTCTTCCTTAGTAAACAAATCGATCAAAATGGTCTCATAATTCTCTCTCCCTATCTTTGTTTTTGGTATTACTCACTTTCGAAGATTCCTCTTCTCGCCCACAAATCAAAATCTTATTTTTTTTCCGACTCAAATTCAATTCAAAAGCATAACATACGGAAAGAAAAATGTTGGAACTTTGTTTTCTCGTCACAAAGATTAGTCTAATCCGACTGTGAAATCTTCGTTTTTAATCAATCATCATATTATTTAGGAGAGAGAAGAGGGAGAGGAAGAAGGAGACGGGGAAAGAGGAAAAGTATCTCTTTCTCTTTTGTTTCTTCGTCAGTGTTAAAATCGGATCCGGGAAAGAAGCGGCGGAACTGACGATTGGATCAGAGCACAGTTGGATGTTAGCGGCGGAACTGACGATTTCCGTTTGCGGCTGCGGCGGCTGTGACGGTGTTTGTGTGTCGTCTTCTTTTATCAATCAGGTAAATAGTCACCATCGATTTCATTTTTTGTGATTTGATTTTTTTTTTATATGATTAAAATGTTTCATCTTTAACTTAAATTCTGGATTTTGAACAAACCATGATTTGTTTAATCATCTCCTTATAGGTTTTTGCTTACAGTCTGGTTTAAGCTATAATCTTACGTTTTTTTTTTAATCCTTTGTCGTTTAAAATCTTCGTGGCTCGATCATTTTTTGTTTCTGCTAATGATTCATCTCCAAAATTCTCGAAGCTAATTCGTTAGAATCTAAAATCCTATGTTTTGATTTCGTGAGATTCCATGAAAGTGGCTTAACGTGTGAAAAAGAAAAAGTTCTACATTTTCTTACATTTTTTTCTTTTGCTCGATGAATTATTTTATATTTTATTTGTCCACTTTGAAATACGAAAGGTTTAAACTTTGAGAAACTAATAAGACCTTCTTAAGCTCACTGGTTTAGTGACACTTGTCTCAAATCATCTTTGTGTTTAGCTAGATTATTGTTTTGTTTTTAGTATTTTCATGTCTTCAAAAGATTCTGAAGTTTTTTTTTTTTTCTTTATCATGTTTTCAGGAGTTTCATCACAGTTTGATCAGAGACTCAGTCAAATTCTTTGATCCTAAATGGCTGGTTTTGATGACAATGTTGCTGTAATGGGAGAATGGGTGCCTCGTAGTCCTAGTCCCGGGACACTTTTCTCCTCAGCGATCGGAGAAGAGAAGAGCTCGAAACGTGTACTCGAAAGAGAGCTATCTTTGAATCATGGGCAAGTTATTGGTTTGGAAGAAGACACTACTGGTAATCATAACAAGGATTCTTCACAAACCAACGTTTTTCGAGGTGGTCTCAGCGAAAGAATTGCTGCAAGAGCTGGATTTAATGCTCCGAGG